ACCGACGCGTCCCGTTAGGTCGGCAATTGTCGCCGACTCGGCCGCGCCATTCTCGCGGCTCTTTCCGGGGCCTTTTTCGGGCCTTTTTCCGAAACGGCACCCCCAAGGCCGACCGACCCCCTCGTAAACGCGAAAGAATCCCAGGGCGAGGTCACCGCCGTTCGGGACTCTGCTAATCGCTCCAGGAGTTTTTCGGCCCTACCGAAGGGGACTTTAAAACCGCGGCAGGTAGTTTCGAGAAGTCGCTGCGGATATTCCGAGCGTAAACTACCGGGCTTGACACGTCCACGGGCTCGAGGAATGCGACTTTGCGACTAGGTGGACGCCATTGTCTCGCCTTCCTTTTCAGAGCACTGGCGAGACTGAGGCGCGTGAAAAATCGACGACAAACCCCGGACAAAGGGGGATTCCTACGTTGGATTAATGCGCGCTTGCTGGGCTATGTTATTCTTCGCTTAAATACACGAAACGATGTGGGGGAAAAAATTAAACTGCGGGGGAGGACGCGGAAAACGCGGGGGGGAACGGCGCCGCCTATGGAGGGGGGCATCAGCTGATGAGGACCCTTTTTTTTCCTCTCGACGAATCCCTACTTGATATTCCCGACTGGATACTTATTGTTAGTTACGCTAGGAGCCTGCAAAAGTGGCGCGATTGGAAACAATGTTGGGAAATCTGAGTTATTCCGACTGCAAGCGATAGTCTTCCCGCATAGCAAACACCTCGATTTGCATGTCGGTGCGGACGAACAGATGACGTTGGAAACGTGCGCGATCAAAGTGGAAAAATCTAAATTTCTGGGAACGCACGCTAAACTCTTTCCCACCTGAGATTTATCCTTTTGAACATGTCCATCTTTTATTAAAATTGCGCAACATAATTTCTGATCATTTCTGTCTTGGGCATTTTACGTGGAAGGGGTGCCACGGGACGAAACGACCCCTTCAACACGGAGCCGAGAAAAGTCGGTTTCCCTGAAACCGGCGGTAATTAAAAACAACGACTTGCCGACAAATCGCAACCCGGGTAGGGGAGCATATTTCTCGAGGACGGCGCGGACTTAATGTATAATTGAGTTCTCGACAAGGAAAGGACACTTTGTGGCCAATATAATCTCTAATAATTCTAATAATTCGAGAAGCCGGAGTTATACTTGCGAGGGGTGGAAGCCGTTTCCTGGAGCGATGCCCGCTTCGCCGCGGAAGCTGAGACGAGAAGCCGGGATAGGAGCAGGGAGAGAGAGAGAGAGAGAGAAAGAGAGAGGCAGAGGGAGGAATACGTGGAGAGATAGGAAGAGAGAGAGGGAGGAGGAATAGGTCGAGGGATGGAACGAGGAAACGGTGGGAGGGCCAATTAGAGGGCTGGAAGATTTATCTGTGGGCGACGGGTGTGCGGATAGTAAGGGGTAGCAACTTGCTCGCCCTCTTCCTCTAGCTTCCTCCCTCTCTGTTTATCCGTCCGTCTCCTTCTCCACCTCCGCCCACTTTTTCGAGATACCCGCGATATTTAATTCGACCCGTTCCTTTTTAATTGGAAAACGTGGTCGCCGAGTAGATTTCCGAAGGCGAGATTAATGGCTAGCGGAGGCGCGAGATAAGGAGATTTTCATGTATTTCCGATCTCGGGGACGGGGGCATAAATATCGGATAATTTCATGCTCGTCGATCGGAGGTCGGGTCTTGGCGTCCTTCCGAGTTCCCCCGAAATATCTTCCGCGAAGGGGGCCCGGTCGCGAGTCACGCTTGGGCCCCGGGGACTGATTTTAATCGGGACTACTTTGCACCTTAATGGGAGACTTAATCGGCCTATCCTCGCGCTCTCGGCAGAGGCGATGGCGAAAAATTCGGACAAATTAGCGCGATGCGAAATTATTCCGCCTCGAGGTCGAAGCCGTTTCCTCCAGAGGCTGGAGGTTCGTGGAAGCCGCGCGGCTCGGGGGGCCTAAATTATTTTAATAAGGACGGCTGACATCTTAACTGCCCGGATAAGCAGATCAAAGCGCTGCTCAGGTGATGTTAGCTCGGCCCCGTATTTACACGCAAAACACTCGGCTCCGCGACGGGGATACGCGTTATCTCCGTGGAAACTACTCGGAAGAGGACTCGTTCGTCAGGCCGCGACATTTTTATAGACCCGCACGAAATTAGAAGTAGCCCGAAGAAGGAGCCGCGTGGAGGCCGGGGGAGCCGGCTTTGAGGCGGATTACCACGGAATTGCAGGGACCTCCTCGGTCCGCTGAACGGATTGTTTAAAACGGCCCGATCCATCCGTCTTTCCGTGCCGGCCCCCGAATCGATCTTCCCCGATCCGTCTAACCGCCCCGGAATTGCAAGAACGCGGCCAAGACGCTTCCGAGGGCCCCTGAAAAATGGCCGCTCTTGGCCCCACAACTGTACCCATCAAATAAATTCCATAATAAGATAATCTCATCATCGGGACGAATCATCCATCAATTTTCGGCGATACCAAGTTACTCTGGAATTCAATCTCGAATCCAATATGGCGGACCGGGTACCGCAAGTATCCGTCTGTACGTGTACATTGGATGACCTAAAAGCTTCGAGATGGGTGGGAGTAAATTCGAGAAAAAATTGTGCAAACCACCCCTAAACCTTTTTGCCGGCCCTCCAGCCGAGTCGCGAGCAAACGCCCTGAGTTACGGGGCGCTAACACTTATTTCGAAGCGGTACGCCATTACGGGGCCATGTAATACCGGGAACGCAACGCGAACCTCTCATCCAGCCAGCCATCCCACAGTTCGTTTCCGTGTTGTTACATAATACACGCTGCGGCGCGGTTACGCGGATGAGGGATGAGGTGCTGCGTTGCCTAATAACCTCCCCGTTCCCCGAGGCCACCCCGGGGGGTGGAGGCGCGCAACCCGCGGATGGCGCCGCATCCGCGGATGCGGACCATCCGCACCGCGCCGCGACGCGGCGCATCGCGAGGAGTAATTATTATACAAGGGTGGAGAGCTGCACCCCCGAGCACCGACGCCGGATTCTTGCGGCATCCCTTAGTACGTAGAGGCGGTTTCCAGAATGGACCTTCAAAAAGTATCTTTCCTAGATCTTAGACATATGCAGACATTTTTCACCATAGGACAGCTGATAAAAAAAAAAGAAAAAGAAAAATTGGGTCGTACTGATTTTATTATTTTTTCTTTTTCTTCGAAGGGGGTACCTATCCAGCTTTAGCACCCTCGTAACGTCTCGATTTCCCCGGAAGAGCGGCAGCATCCTCGGGTTTCTTAAGGGTGGTCCCTCGAGACTTGCGTGATCCACGGAATTCGGGGGTCGCGGGCCGCATGCCCAAATTGGATTAGTCGGGCCGAAGAGGCCGAAATTGGCAGGGGGTTTGGAAGCCCGTTGTGGCGGACTTCTATATTTAAGTGGTTGCACCTATACGGAGGGACTTACCGGGATTCAATTACCGCAACGTCTGCGAGGCACGCCATTCCCACCCCTCGCGGGAACTACCCTCCGCCGCCTTGGCGCTCGGCGCCCGCCGCCCCTTCGTCTTCCCAAGAACGAACAGGTGCTCTCGCGCCCGTTGTAAATTGCACCCCTGTAATCCGAAGTAAAGCGCTCGTTTTATCCGTGCCACGGCGAGATGGATGCGCGCTACATCTTCCGGATAATAGGTTGCGCTTACGGCGCCATCTTCCGCAGACTCGGAGGGGAACGGCGTCGGCGTCGGCGTCGCAGCGCGGAAGGGGAGGTCGAAAATATTATCGAAACGCCATGATTTTACGGAGAATTAATTTCCGCATCCCAGGAAAAATCACGAAAAAGCGTCCGATTATTCCGGGCGAGTTTCCGCGCACCCTCCGTGGATGTGGAAGTGAAAATTGTCCAGGGCTCTGGGAGATTCTCCAGGAACGGAGGCAACGAATCCACCCCCTTTCCAGGGTAAGGAATGGCGTTTCCACGGGGCGAAAATCGCAGCCTCCTAAAGAGAGCACGCAAGCGGCCGGCGCCCCGCTTGCGGCCAGCCGCGTCCGTGCACCTAGGCCGGCACTGTTTCGTTCGGTTCGATCCTAGGTACATAATTCATCGGGCGTGCACCATTGTTGGGGCTTCATTAATACAAATGGCGTCTGCTGAATTCTGCCCAACCGCTCCCCATTCCGCAGCGCGCAACAGCGCGGTGCAGCGCGCGGCCCCTCCGGAGAGGAACGCAGAGACCCGCGGCGAGCGAGACCGAGAGAGAGGGGAATAATGTACACCGTTGTGCACAGGTACATCCTATATACGTGTACGTGTAGAGAGAAACGGAGAGAAATAGAGAGGGTCGTAGAAAAGGAGGGCGAGAGCAAGGGAACACCCCCGCGAGCAGCGCCGCTACAAGAGACATATTTCCGCCGTTCTCGTCGACTTTCATGAGAACGTCTATCCGCAATAACGTATTAATATCGCCCGAAAGGAGACTTATGGATATCCACGAAAGCTCGACCCCGGATCAACGCCGCGCCCGTTAGGACGGACGCGTTTCCAGAGGAACCGCGGATGTCATTTTAAGCGCCATAAAGCGACCGCCGCACGTCCCATGCCGGTCACCATGGAATCGGCATTTTCCTCCTGAAAACGGGAAAAGAGCGCCCCCGTGGAGAGGACGGACCCCCGGAAAAATCCAATTCCTTCCGGTCAAAACGTGGAGGACCTTGGAAAAAGTCCACGAATCGAGGAACTTTGTCAATGCGAGCGACAATGAGTATTTTTCAATCAGGAAAAATGAAGGCGAACCGCCGAAGAGGCTAACTGGAAGAGTAAAAACGCGAGAATCCTTGACGAAGGTTAGGATAAGATTAAGCGGATAGATAATGAAGTGCCTATGATGTTAAAATTAAAGGTGTTACAATTTTCCTTGAATGGTGGAAAAATTAAATAGGAATCGAATGGGTTGGTTTTTTTTTTTTTTTAAAGATAATTTTCAGAGGAAATTCGGGACTAGGAAGCGCCGAGCTCGAGAGCCCGCGAGCAAATGAACAGAAGACTGGGTCAGATATTAAATCGCATTTATTTTCTAGCAGCTGTATAATCGGCACAACGTTATAATGTCCTTCGGATCAGCAACCGCGATCTCGGAAGTGACTCCACGGCCGGCAGGACTCGAGCCTGCCCGGTCAGGAATCGAATCGGCGAGTCGGCGAACAGTCGGGTATTTATCTTACAAAAATCCAATTTCCTCACGTAAGACGTTGACACATATACACGGCTACCATACGTATACTTAGGTATTCCCCACCGCTCTAAAAATTGGCCTACACTCGGCTAGTCCTGCGCAGAAAGGAGTCAACTCGTTCCAGGACTAAAATCAATCCCCGCTACGAAATCACCGGATCGCTTCGCAATCCTCCTCCCTACGACAACCGATCGGCTAATAATTCGCCCAACAATCGTAATTACCACGATAAGCCGAACATTTTATCGAATACCGAAAATATCGTAGCAATGGCCAATTTTCCCTGCAGAGAATTCCTCCTTCCGCGCTTATAGCTCGCTAAGCGGTGTTACAGGTTCGTTCGGAGATCCACGAAATAAATAATCATTACTAATATTACACTCTTCTTAGAAATACTGCGTCTACGTATAGTGTGTCCAGTTCCTCAATACTCGCTTAGCGGCTACTCGTATACATTCGTTAACTAGAGTAACGTTACTATTAGTGTTGGCGCCACGCTTTCCTCGGGTAGGCGTTTAGGTACTAAGTAGGTACGTACATAGGGTATTTCGTTCCGATTTTTAAGTTCCTATCTGTAAGCCTTTATCGTCGCGCATTCCTTCAAAAGTGACGTGCCAGAGATGTACATCCCCTAAATAGATTCGAAAAGGAGCCATTCGTATCGAAAACAGCGCGTACTCGCCGCCCTCTTCGCAGGTACTGAGCGAATACGTCATATCGTTTTTATATTTACAGAGTGACAATATAATAATAATAATAATAATAATAATAATAATATATTAATAACAAAATTTCTTGCGAACATCGATATATTCCGTGTAACGACCGAGGGAGCTGCGCTTTCGACATTTCGATCTCGCCCGTTTTGATCACAATTCAACTTGGATTTTCCGACCGGTCTTTTCCGACTTTCTCTTTCTTTTTACGTACTCGATAAAGTATGAAAGGAAAATAAACTCGGGCCTTCTCGAAATCCGCTGTCTTTGACGAAGTGGGACCGCTTTGATACGCGGCTACGGGCGACGCGTTTTACGACGAAACGCGGAAAAGCAGCCCTCGAGTCGAGTCGTAGACAATAAAAAATAACAAAAATATAACGTGTAACGGCAGTCGTGGTATCGTCGCTCAAAGAAACGCACCGGGCATGCACTTCCATTACATGGGAGCGGAACGATTGATAAATGAAGGAGGAAAGAAACGGCAGTCCTCGACGGCTTTGTACACGGACCCACTGACACTGGATCCAAGTTAAATCACTCTACGCACTTTTTATCGGCGATTTGATTTCCATAGCGGCAATGGAATCGTACAAATTGCCCCGATCGGTAGATGTTTTTTTTCTGCGGTTTTCAGGTTGGAGAGAAAATCCAGCTCCTCCGCTCGAAGCGCCGACCCGATCGAGCGTCTCAGGGGAGACTCCACGATCGAGTCGGGGTATCGATAGAGCCTGCTTTCGATATATGTGCTTTTTAATCGGAGATAACGTTTGCTTTCGGGTGCCATAGGTCTCAAGAGTGGATGTGCAAGGCTAGGCAGCGATGGCTTTTCGATTTCTGGGCCAAGTCGTCGACCCTGGAACGTTTTCGACGCATCTTAGAGGGCCTTTCGGCTTGGAGGGTTGGTCCAGTCATAGCTTCGGGGTTCTGTACGCTACTGCACTAACATTCGCTACACTAGCTCGGGAACTACTGTAGCTACTCGACGGGTGAACAGAAGGTGGACATGGCTCATCGGTTTGGGGATATTGGTCAATGGTCAAGCGAGCTACGGGAGTCCGGGTTTGGTCACTCACCAGGCGCAGCATTCGTTCGCCGCAACCCATTAACTGACTATCGAGAGAAACACATCGATACCTATTTGGCATTACGGACACCGTCGGCGCAGCCTGCCACTTACCTGAAACAGAAAGAGAAAGGACGCCTGCGTTAATCGGATCTCGTTAAAACGCAGAACTCTCAAGTTATTCAATCACTCCCGCCTCAATTAACCGCAAAATCCAAAATTCCATATTGAATCCACGACCATGCCGTATTTATTAACGATAAAATCCTCAATTTATAATCTAACGTATGTACAGTTGCAGGACACAATTCATTGAGAAGATAAATTGACCTTGATTTAAAGGAACTTTTTCCCTCAGTCTGAAATTCATTTGAACGTATCCCATCGCAGGATTTTGATACCCTCCAGTCAATCAACTATTTTCAGGGTAAGATAGTACCGAACGGATAAGATCGAGCGGGACTCTAGACCTCGATTTTCGAAATTCGAGGTCCCGGGTACGGTGGTAAATCCGAGGAGCAATAACAAAAATTTGTCGAGCACGCCGTCGAAGGGGTCGCGCCGTAGTACTTCATAGGTAGTAGTTCGTAGGTTGGCCGCGTCTGGGGCGCGACAGGCCGGACCCCGGCGGCGCTGGTTCAGCTCCTTTTGTAATGGGACGGATGCACGTGGTGCCTTGTCCGGCACACGCACGTTGGGTCGAGGTTCGGTGGTGTCGGTATCTCGGCGATATCGATAGCTCGCGCGAAGAGCGAAAGGGGTGGCCGGAGGACGGAAGGATAAGGGGGGTCGGTCTGGAAGGGGCGCTTCCCGCGCATCCCTCCCCCGATCCCTCCATCCGTCTCGACCACCCCCTTTCCTCCTTTCCCTTATCCGACCCCTTCCCCCGACGCATCCGTCTCCCTCTTCCCGGGGTTTCTTCCCTCCTGCCCACTTTTCCAGCGCGGCTCTCACATGGCGAAGCGCGCCAAACGGACCGCGACCAAATACCCTGCCGAAAGTAGAAACGCCGTTACTCATCTTTAGAGGGAACGCGAAAAAGTTGTTTGTCCTGCATCTCTTCGTGCAGGGGGCAGGAAGGATCCCGAACTCTTGGCAGGGCCGGCGACGAGTCGCGGACGCGCCTCGATTCCTCTGCTCCAGGGATTGGAATCGTTAATGCCGCCCCCGATTTGCCCCGACCGAGAGGCGCCCCTGGATGACGGGGGTCGGCATCCTCTCTTGGGGATGTTTCCGCCATTTTCGGATCCTGCCGACTGGGATAAATCCGGGAATGCCGAGGACCTCCGCGTCGCTTTAACGACTCGATCGAGGTAGAAGGTTTCCTTGGACCGTGAGCCGTGCTCGCAAGTGGAGAGCGCACGACCCGAGGGATTATTTTTATTCCGAATATTCCCGAGGTTTTCGTCGCGACGTATCGTTCCTTTCTTTACGGACGGACGTCAACGGAAGATTCCTCGTATCCGTAAATACGCGGACTAGTTTCTCGGGCTTAATTTCCCGAGCGTTTGCTCTTCGGCCTAGAGCCACTTGCCGGCGTCTCCCGGCACTTTGCAGGGAGCTCCGCTTCTTCGGGCGTTTGTCAGGATTTCGAAGGAGTTAGACTTTTTAAGCCGCCATAAATTCGGCGAGAGAACTTGCGCAAGAACGCAACGAGGCAACCGTCAGGGGTCCGGGGGGGGCTCGATTGCCAAAAACGTTGACGGCAACCCCGAAGAGAAGACCTCGCGCTACGAAGAGGCCGCTGGGAATCTCGCGCGGGCGTTAATCACTCGGCAGACGGTCGCGGGAGGTGCGACATTTGCGCGGTGAAATCCACTCGACTCTTTTGCATTCCGATAAACCAGAAACCGCCTAGTCCTCGCTCTCAACACATCCCCAAAACTCGGCGTCGTCTCCAAAACCTCTGACCTAAAAAATACCACGAAACTCTGCACCTCGCATTTCAACCCTGAAAGAAAAAGAGAACGCTCATCTAGAGAGATATTCCTTCGAACGTTATCAAAAAACCATTTCATCGATTCAAATAATAAAAATAACGCGACTAAAATAAAATCCAATAAATCGACCGCTATGCATCCTCGGAAATGCGATCACTCAATTGAACCAAATTACTCCTCGAATGTAACTGCATTTCTTCGGTTCAATGAATTTTCTTCCGCGTGGTACTATTCCAACTTAAATCCTCTTAGGAGATTTCATTCCTGCTACCGCCGACAGCTCTGACAATTTTCGGGTAACTCATCCCAATTGTTACCAATCGATGGAAGATAACGCGCAGTGAGAATTTTCTCCGTAACCGGGGGTGCACCATTTGTCAAGTGTATCGTGCGTCAAAACATACCCCAGGGGAGGAGGGTAAGCCCTCTTTAGCCATTCTTGCAGGGATGCAAATGCGCGGGAATATCAGGTGTTCGCTCCAGACCAGACGCGAGAAGGGGTGGCGTCGGCCCAGAAGGGTTGATTGCAACACGCTGCCGCGACGCGTCCGCGGGGGTGCCCGCGCCCGTGGGGCGGGGATGAGCACGGAGCGGTTATTATCTATCGCTCTCGTTACCACAGGTTGCTCGTAAACCGGCCGCATCAGGGGTCGGGACGTCGGTTTCGCAGTGTGGCGGCTCCGGCCGGGGGTGCAGGAAGGTAGACACCCACACGGAGAGCGGGCCGCACCACGGCCGCACCGCCTCCCGCTCGTCTCCCCTAGATATTACGTCGAGTGCGAACGGATGGCCGCGTCGAGGGGGCCGTTCCGAGCGAGGGCCTCGGCCATGGGTCCTCCGAGTTCCATTGGTCGGGGACCAGGAAAAGGAAAAGAGGCCCGGCCCGAAAGCCGGATTCCCACGCAGCGGCCTTTCCTGCCCATCTCTACGACCGCATAGATCTTCCCAGCGACTCTCAGCGAACGACTATCCCGTAATTAAATCGAAATCGGCACTAAGCACGCTAACTTAACACAAGTTTCACCGAACTGCCAAAAATCAACATACATGCGCTAACAAAAAAAAAAAATATCACCATTTCGTATATTCGACTGAAATAAATTGGATGTATCGTTACATTCGATATTATGACAATTTCATGTTTACTTCGGTCTAACAATTATAAAATTACCTTACCGGTGTTGGATGCCGGGACTACCCGAAAGGAGCCTGGATTAATTCCGGCTCTTTTTATCGCCCTAGCTAGGAGCTTCGCGCAGTTGCGATAAATCGGTGCACTTAGCCTCTCGCGGGGAGTAAATCGAAGTATCGACAGCGTGCTTAGGAAGGCGTCTTGGCGTAATTCCTGCCCGCTCGAATTAGTATTCCCGCGTCCAGAGACCCCGAGGAAGGTCCCGAGGAAGGTTCCCCGAGGGCATGGACGGGCTCGGATTGAGATCGAGACTCGGTTTTTCTCCTCGTCCGGTGCACACGAGCGCGAATTGCGCGTAACCCCCGCGGGGCGACAGCGCGCCGTCGCGACAGGGGGCACCACCGACGCCGCAGCGATACCGTCCGCGTGTATGTAGTGCTGCGACCAGCCGCTGCACCAGAGCCCATAAATCTCGGAGGATATAGATGGCTCTAGTGTCGCGTGAGCTGCAAGCTACCCCATGCAGGGTGCCGTGGAACGTCCCCGCCTCCTGCTACCCGCGCCCCTCCCGCCCTCGCCGCCATCGTTGACCGAATTGCTGGAAAGCCACCTTTTACGCCTAGTCGCAAGAGCCGGCCGGAAATTCGACCTCGCGAGCTCGATCGGCACCCAGGGGTGAGAGGAACGCCCGAAGGGAGATACGTTACCCGCTGAAAGTTTCCCATTAAACGGCGGACTCTGAAAAGTGGAGCCAAACGCCGAATCGCTCTCGATATTCCTGAGGCAAGGATATCCCCTTCGTTCATTAGAAAATCCTCATTACATATACCCTGGAACGTCAAAATATTTATAAAACTTTTCTCCAAACCGAATTATTAAAAAAAAAAAAAAAACTTCAGCATGTGGCTCCGGAGGTGCTAAGGAAGAACGCGATGAAATGTCATTTTTTAAAAAGAATATGTCCCCTCGGTTCCACTCTGAAATAAATGAAACGAACTTTTCTCTGAAAATTGACATTTCATGAGCGGCGCGCCGTTCGTTAGGGCCTTCACAATTACATGATAAAGGTCCAAATGGTTTGGAGGATGGTTTAATCAATATTTTCATATGTTTATGCCATACGAAGTGGCCCCTTTGTAAGACTTTAACGAGATGGGAGTTTCGCGACGATATGGAAGATCCATGGTCGTTAGGGTGGAGGCAAGGGTCATCCGGTATCTTTTGCTAGGGGTGCGCCGCGTGGCCGGGACTGTCACGGAAGGGCGAACTCGGTACGAGCCGTACAAGAAGCCTACAGGGAGCCTACAAGAAGTCGGCAAGAGTAACGCCCTCCTCGGGGAATAAGCGCCAAGGAAGGTCCGAGTCGGGCCCGAAGGGCTTGGCGCGTCTCGACGTGCCCCCGCAGCGCTTACAGCTTAGCCTCGCCGACGTGGCGTCCGCGGGAAATATTGCCGTATCTCTTCATGCGGTGATATCGCCGGGTGATGTATTGCCCGAGATATTTTACAACTCGCACACTTGCCCTTACGTTGGATGTACGCCGGGCGTGCAGATATCCGCGGAGTAGCGCCGAGGGCCGCGACGCGGAGGACCACGCGGCGCGATGTCGGGACCAGCGCCTACCATACCCACCGGCCGTGCCTACAATGCCTACTATGACTACTATACCCTCCTGCCGAGCCAGAACGGCATGTCGGTACGGATCCAGTGTGGGAGTAAAACGAGTACTGGTACGAAGTGTACGGGACCGGGACCAGGGGCCAGGAACCCATCCAGACAGCGAACCAGCCAGCCAACCGGCCAGCCAGGAGCGAGAGCGAGCCAGCCAGAGAAAGGAGAGAGGATGCCGATGATGAATCACCCGCCAGGAGTGAGACCGAGACCCGCGGAGGGAGACGGAAGAGCGCCCGAGGAGCAATAAGGGGAGAATCGCAAAAAACCCTTCGACCAGGACGAGCGCGCTAGACCGAGTCGGTAACTACCAAATCTACGGATTCCGCATCCTGGAGGGTGGTACCCTCCCTTTGGCCGAGGGTTCCGAA